TTTTTTGAAACAGAGGCTCACTTTATTGCCCTTGGTAGAGTGCTGTGGCATCCTAGCTCAAAGCAACCTTAAACTCTTGGGTTCAAGTGATCCTCTTGTCTCAAGTTTTTTCATTTTTAGTAGAGATAGGATGTCACTTTTTTTTTTGAGATAGTCTCACTATATCACCCCCAGTAGAGTGCTATGGCATTACAGCTCACAGCAACCTCAAACTCTGAGGCTTAAGGAATTCTCTTGTCTCACCCTTCCGAGTAGCTGGGACTACAGGTGCCCGCCACAATGTCCAGCTATTTTTTCTTTTGTTGTTGTAGTAGTCATGGTCATTTTTCAGCTGGCCTGGGCTGGCTTCAAACCTGCCAGCCTTGGTGTATGTGGCTGGCTCATAATCACTGTTGTACGGGTGCTGAGCCATGGATCTCACTCTTGCTTAGGCTGGTCTCAAACTCCTGAGCTCAAGCAATCTACCCGCCTTAGCCTCCCAGAGTGCTAGGATTATAGCTGTGAGCCACTGTGCCCAGCCCACTTAGTTAATTTTTGCATGTGTGTTAAGGGTCTAACTTCATTTTTTTGCATGCGAACATCCACTTTTCCCAGCACCATTTGTTGGAAAAATGAACTGACTCTTGAGACCTCTGACACGTGTCTATCCCAGGAGACCCTAGCAGGTCCATCCACCTGCTCACTTGGGGCCTTGCCATGCCATTGCACTTTGGGCCCAAACCCATACTGTTGCTTCCCCCTGGGATGCTGACCCCACTCTAAACTACTTTTTTTTTTTTAGACTGAGTCTCACTCTGTCACCCTGGGTAGAGTGCCATGGCATCATAGCTCACAGCAACCTCAAACTCTTGTGCTCAAGTGATTCTCTTATCTCAGCTTCCCCAGTAGCTGGGACTACAGATGCCTGTTACCATGCCTGGCTAGTTTTTCTGTTTTTAGTAGAGATAGGGTCTTACTCTTGCTCAGGCTAGCCTTGAACTCCTGAGCTCAAGTGATCCTCCTTCCTGGGCCTCTCAGAGTGCTAGGATTACAGGCATGAGCCACCCCACTCTAAACTTCTCTGGAGCTACAACCTTCCTGCCTCTCCTACCTCACAGCCACGTCCTCCCTCCCCCCCTCATCAGTGATGAGTCTTCCCCAGGGGCTGCTGCCCCCCAACTCTCTGTTGCAGCCCAGCCTGCCTGTGCATCACAGTTGCACAGGCCAGGGGTCCCACTGAGCCTGAGTCCCTGCACATTCCCTCCTCCCTTCTGGCCAGACCTTCCTCCCACTACTGGCCTCCATGCTCCCCTGTGCCCCCTGCAGGGCGGCCTCTCCCCTGATCTCCTGCCCATACCTTCAGGGAAAATGTAGCCACCCTGCCATGACAGCTAGTCTATGCCTTTGCCATCTCCATCCCCCCCTTCCATTCCTCATTCCTCTTCATCTTTCCACTTTCCCCATTTTCCTTGCATTTGAAATCCTCATTCTTACCTGTTTGCCCATGTGTGTATTCTGCATCCCCACGAAGGTCAGGGAGGCAGAATCTGTTAGACACTGTCATAAAGTTATTTCCAGGAAGAGGTTTCATCTGTGGTTTGCTCTTCCCCAGGGTCCCACAGTCTTCGTTACAACCTCACGGTGGTGTCCCAGAATGGATCTGTGTCATCAGAGTTTTTCGCTGAGGAATATCTGGATGACGAGCGCTTCCTGTTCTATGACGGGCAGCAAGGCAGGGCAGAGCCTCAGGGGCCCTGGGCAGAAGCATCCCTGGGAAATGAGACCTTGGAGACAGAGACCAAAGACTTGGTAGAGAAAGGGAAGTACCTCAAGATGACCAAGGCACAAATCACAGGCCAGAAAGGAGGTGAGAGTGGGCAGGGGGCAAGGGTGGGGCCTTTTCTAGGAGATTTGGGGCAGAAAGCAGTGACCTGTCTCTTCCTGCTGGATCTGGCTGGGGAGGGGGTGAGGATGGGGTCAATGGAGCTCAGTGGGGAGAAAGCCAGTCCTCAGCCAGCACAGGGGGACAGAAGGAGGGTCAGAGAGGGGTCTCCTCTGGGCTGCATTTCTCTCTGGGGTGGCAAGGTGAGGGGTTCAGAGAACTGAGACATCTCTTCTGGCAGGGTTGGGGGCAGTCTGGCATTCGCTGCAAGAGATAACGGAATGTAAGATCCATGAAAACAACAGCATCAGTGGCTTCAGGCATTTCTACTATCATGGGGAGCACGTCTTATCCCAGAACCTGAAGACTCAGAAGCAGACAGTGCCCCCGTCCTCAGGAGCTCACACCTTGGCTATGAACATCCGGAAGGTCCTGGATGAAGATGCCATGACACGCCTCGACGCTGTGCTGGCAGACTGTGTGCAGAAGCTACAGCAATATCTGAAATTAAGGAGACTGAGCTTCAGGAGAGCAGGTGCTGACCTAGTTCTGCAGGAGTCACCCCACCCCAGCTCTGTCCGAAGGACCCTTCCTGTACTGTGGCTGCACACTCTGTTGGTGTATTGTGTTCTGATTAGCTTCTCCTGTTAAAGCCACTGGCTCAGGACAATGGGTCAGAGACTGAAGTATTTAGTGTCATAATCTGGGAAGGCAGTGGGCCCTCTGACAGAAGCCTGCACCTGAGAGATGGGTGTCAGACAGGAGAGCAGCCCTCAGAGCCGGGGGCCATCCTCTCTGCCTCCCAGCCTATCTGTCATGGAGAGTCCCTCCTGGCCCATGGCCCAGGAGCCCACCCCTGACATCCTCCTCCTCAGCATCAGCACAAGGACCTGAGGGCATTAGACAACCTTCCCAAGGCCCTTCCTCTTTCTTGCCAGTCTTGAGGAATTGGGACCTAGGAGGGCTTACAGAAGGCCTGGGATCAGTGAGGGCTTTAGGCCGGGTGGGAACAGTGGGAGGACCCAGCCTGCTCCCTGTGTCTCCTGTGGAGGGGAGCAGGGCTTGGCCCTGGGTCTCACTGCCTCTCCTCTTCCTTCTTCAGTAGCCCCGACAGTAAATGTGACCCACAGTCAGGTCTTGGATGGCTACATGGGACACAGCAGGAATCAGAGCACTCATACTGTGCTCTCTGGTGAGCCTTGGGTGACCCTGGAGGCTTCTGTCCCAGGGAGGGCTGGGCTGGGGCTGGGAGAGCAAAGAAGTCTGTGGCTGTGGGTGTCCTGGGTCTGATGAGGCCCTTTTCTCAGGGAATGCCCCGAGGCCTCGGAGTCACCGGCTAGCCATTCTGTGTACTGCCCTTGTTATTGCCTTGGCTGTGGTGTGTGTCTTTTGATACAAGAAGAGGACATCAGCTGCCAGAGGTCCAGGTAAGAAAGAGGCAGGGGCTAGAGATGGAAGTGCCCCTGTCTGGGGAAGCGGGTCTCCTCCTGTGTTCTACTGCGTAGACAGGAGTGTAGGTGATGGGCCTTCTGGAGCAGAGGGTGGAAGTCAGGGAATTTGGGAGGTAGCAGGAGCCACATCTCCATCTCTATCCCTTAGTTCAGCTGGCCAGGGCCAGTGAATGTCCAGCTGTGGCCTCTTCTTGCTACAGGGGGAGGAGTGGGCAGCAGAGAGGGCCATGGCATCTGCTCTGCCC